TCCCGTCCCTGAGCATGGATATAATCCCATCACCTCCCAAATATCCCGTCCCTGAGCATGGATATAATCCCATCACCTTCCAGATATCCCGTCCCTGAGCATGGATATAATCCCATCACCTCCCAAATATCCCGTCCCTGAGCATGGATATAATCCCATCACCTTCCAAACATCCCGACTCTGAGCAGGGATCCATCACCTTCCAAATATCCCGCTCCTGAGCATGGATCCAATGCCATCACCTCATAAATACCCTGTACCTGAAGGTGGATCCATCCCCTTCCAATTATCCTGCTCCTGAGCACGGATCCAATCCCATCACCCACCAAAGCACCAGCTTTTGGTATCTCAGCTTGAAATCCAACAGGAAAATCCAACAGGAAAATCCAACATGTTGCCTTTTAAAACGCTCCCACCAGTGATTAAAACCTGGGAACTGGATAACACCATGGGCACCAGAGAACACCAAACCCAAGGCTTTTGGAGCCAAGCCCAACACCTGTGTTCCCAAACCACAGCCTGCCTTTGAATCATCCCAAGACGCCAGAGCAGGACACGAACTCTCCCACGTTCCTTCCCAAAATCTCACCCAGCACAAGTGTTGTCTCCCCCCACCCCAGACACTTTTATCACCTCCCACCAGAGACATCACAAGTTGGCAGGTCCTGAACAGGAACCAGACAGGCAATTTGCTGCTAATTAAGAGTGGAGTTGTGCCATTCCCAGCTCCCAGAGCTCCGGGAGGGCAGTTCCCTCGGAGACAGGGGCATCTCCTGGAGTCACCAGCACCACCCAGCTCCTGGCAGGTGACCCTGGAGTGCCACAGCAGGAGGGACAGACATTCCCAAGGCTGGGAAAGCAGCACGTGCCCGCTCTGGGATGGGATCAGCTGGGAAATCCAGGAAAGCACAGAGAGCTCCAGTGAAGGAGAAAGGCAGAGGAATTTTTCTCTTCCCCACAGTTACACCAACAGATCCATCCCCTTTCCCACCATTGTCCAGGCCAGCACCCTCTTCCCTAAAAAAAAAAAAGGGGTAGGAGAAGTTAAAGGAGCAAATCAGAGCAGGAGGAGACTCCCAAAAAGGATCCAGAGCAGGAGAGAACAGATTAAAACAGAGATTCCAAAGCAGCCACAGCCTCCCCTCCCTCCTCCCAGGGAACTCCACTGCTGCCCATCAAATCCCTCGGCAGGAAAATCCCACCTGGATCCCAGCACAAATCCCAGCCTCACAGTCCCTTCTGCAGGAGTTTCCCTTTGACCAGCACTAATCCAAAGGAATGTTTGTTTTTTCTTTTTTGTCTGGCTAAAAATAGTCCTTGGACTTAAAACCTGATGGAGGGGGGTGGGTGGGTGGGCCCAGGCAGGATGTGCTCCATGGGAGAACCTCTGGAATTGCCGCTCTCCTGGGAGGCTGGGAAGTGCCAGGGGCATCACCAGACCTAATTTCTCAGAGCCTGGGGGCTCAGATGGCAGAGGCTGGGTGAAAACAGGCTGGAACTGGGATTTTGCTAAGTCATGGCAGCACGTACAGCTAAATATATCAGTGGACATGGTGACTCTCTGGCAAGTCCTCACAAAAATAAAACTGCTCTGAAAAAAAAAAAATCATGGAAGAGGCTGTTCTGGACTTCCAGGCTTTCCAAATGTTTCTAGGGAGGAAAACCCAGAGCCCCAAGTTCGCTTTTCCTAACATCTCTTTCATCATCCCTGATTCCAGGTGGTGTCCAGTGGAATGAATTTGTTTGGTCAGGACACAGAAAAACGTTGTTTTTCTTGGATGTAGATACAGCAGCATGTCTGAAACACAGAATGTGCCACCCAGGGCCAGGTTTGCTGGTGTGTGAAGTCAAACTGGATATTGGGAAGGAATTCTTCCCAGGGAGGGCAGTGAGGGGCTGGAATGGGAATTCCCAGAGAAGCTGTGGCTGCCCCATCCCTGGAAGTGTCCAAGGCCAGCTTGGAGCAACCTGGGCTAGTGGAAGGTGTCCCTGCCCATGGCAGGGGGTGGGACTGGAGGGGTTTAAAGTCCTTCCAACCCAAGGCAGCCTGGGATTCCATAAACCAAGCAGGTTTATGAGGATGTACAGCAGGGACCAGAAGGCAGAGCTGTCACAGCCTCTCCCCCAGCACAAGGTGTGACGGTCCCTGTGCTGTAACCACCCTCCCTCTGCCCTCCCAGAACATTAAAAGTTTGGCTCTGCTCCCACAGCAGTCCCTACGTGCTCCCCGTGGGGCTAATTCCCACCTTTCCCTGCTCCCAGGGAGGACACGGAGCTGCTGCCCAGGCCCGGCTGTGTCAGCCCTTCATTACAGGGCAGAGCCACCCGAAGTGGGTCAGTGGTGACACCGCCCAGCCCAGGTGACATCGGGTGACTCCAGTCCCTGCACAGGAACCGCCCCCAGCTGTGTCCCAGCTGCCATTCCAGGGGGATGGGAAACGGGAACAGCCCCTGCTGCCAGGGCTGAGGGAGGCACCTTGGCACAGCCGAGCTAAATCCAGAGCACTGTGCCATCCCTGCACCCCTCACTGGGCCTGGCACTGCCACGGGCCAGGCCCTGAAAGGCAGGGGATTATGGAGGCTTGGCTCTCTCCTGCAGGTCTGGCTCAGGGAATCATGGAATGGCTTGGAAAGGCTTTAAAGATAATCCAGTCCCACTCCCTGCCATGGGCAGGGACACCTTCCACCAGCCCAGGTTGCTCCAACCTGGCCTTGGACACTTCCAGGGATTCAGGGGCAGCCACAGCTTCTCTGGGCAACCTGGGCCGGGGAGGAATTTCTGTCCAATATCCCACCCAATCCTGCCCTCTGGCATCCTAAAACCATTGCCCTGGTCCTGTCAGTGCAGCTCCTGCTGGGGCTGCAGCAGCCCCGGAGCCAAAGCCCACCCAGGGACAGGGGGACACGGGCTCTGAACTCCAGCACTTCTCTCCCAGAGCAGGAAATTCAAAGCTCGGTGGAGAAAAAGGGATGAAGCTTATCCAGAGCTTCAGGGAATTAGTGGCTGCAAGGTTAGAGCAGGCACTGGGGTTGGCTGTGGTGCTGAGACGTAAAATGACCCACCTGGATGTTCATTCGAAGGAAAAACAACACAGATTTGGCACCTTGAGAGCCCAACACACACTGGCACAGCCCAGGGAGACACAGAGAGGCAAGGGGAGACAGTGGCACCCATTTTCAGGACAAAACCCACCCAAGCACCCAGCAGAGACCCCCACAGAGGTGGGCAGGGGGGGAAGGAAAGCCACAGGCCTTCCCCAAACACATTCTCTATTCATTTCTCTGCATTATTAAAGTGCCAAACAAACAATGCAGAATTTAAAACCACAACCCATGGGATACCAGCAAATGTTCTCATTTTAAAACACCCCAACTGGAGTGTAACAGTGCATGACAAACTTCTTACAGACCCAAAAGAACCAGGTAACCACGTGCTGGGGATGAAGCTGGAGCTGCTCTGAGGCCTAAAGCTCCCTGTCCTCGTGGGGCCCTTCCAGCTGGGGATATTCCAGGATTCCATGGTCCCTGATCCCCGAGGAAAATGCTGGGCAGACCCTCCTCAGCTGCACCCAACCACGGGAAATGAAGCAACTCAAAGCCAGCCAGAGGACAGGCTGCAATTACTAATTATTAGAGAGCAAATAACGCGCTCTCTGGAAACTGGTTTGAAGCTGGGAAAGGTGGGAATCAACTGCTGCCCGCAGAAATCAGGGATCACAGACACAGCTGGAATATTCCAGGGTTTACCTGCCACCCAGGCTGTGTCAGACACTCTGGAGATGAACCTTCAGAGCTCTAAAAGCAATGGAACATCCGTGGGAATTCACTCCGAGTTTAAACCCCGAGGAGCTGGAGATGCACTGGGAGGTTTTTCCAGCTAAACAGCTGCTGGCTCCCAGCCACAATTCCAGCATTCCTGGTAGAATTTATATCAATTTTATCTGTTATGGTCCACATGGAGATGAACGAGCCCAGTGCAGCCACTGAGACAAGGCAAGACAGAGCAAACCTCACTCACAGCACCAACAGTAAAAAAAGCTGAGCATAAGCCAGGGAACAACAGGAAAAATATGGAATTCACTCAGCATTTCCCTTGGAAAAGCTCTCAGTGAAGCTTTGAAATGACTTCTTACAAACACTGTCGATATGAACTGACATCTTGCCTCCAGTTCTGCTCATTTGGGGAAAAAAAAAACCCAACCCACTGTTCCAGGGCTCAAACAACCGAGACAGGATTCCCTTCCCAGCACAGGATTTCGGGAAGCAGCAGCTGGAGCAGGCTGAGCTGCCTTCCTGGAGGCAAAGAAGACTCACACTGCAGAGATCAGTCACTGAAGTGCCAGTGAAATCCAAGGCTCTCCAGAGGATCCAAGGCACGGAGTTGTTCACAGCCCCGAGCAGCTCAGACCGAGGGAACTTCCCTGGAGTTACACAGGGAATTTGTTTAAACCCCATCCAGTTCAATCCCAGTTAAGTCTCCAAGGAAATGGCTGGCTGGGAGCGAGGCAGTGCTGTGAGAGGCTCCATCCTTGGCTGTGGGGATGCTCTGCTGGGATAAGGAAGGGTGGGAATGCAGCCACTGCCCTCCTGCCCCGCTGCTCCCAACCCTGCCTGGGCAAAATCCTGACTAAGC